GAAAAAACTGGTGCCCCTCTCTTATTACGGCCATGGATTTTCGAGGCCGCTCAGAACTCCTGGGGATATGCAGCGCTACGATCTATTTAGAATACCTTTTTTTTTATGATTGGTACCCATTTCCCCATTTCTTCATCGTTAGCTTCCACATCCACGGCGTCCGCTTTTCTTCATAGTTCTGCCTGGCTTTGTATTGCTAAAACGGCATAACTAACTTGTAAATACTACGACAAAACATAACCTACAGACTTCAACTGAGTGTTAAAATTGCAAACATACGCCTAATTCCAGGTTAGCGACAACTCTGGTATATATATTATCCACTGTAATTGTCTGTGTGAAAGGATTAATTGATCTTGTTCTTGAAATCAAGATATTGGTTAAGATAAGTTATTTAACTAATTCCATTGAACAGAGTAGAGCCTGCGAATCATACAGTCGCCCAGGTAATCAATAATTTCCCCTCGTTCTTCAAACACGAAGGTTCAGTACCATACAAACAAAATCCCGCAACTGCATCCTATTTATTTAAAAACCTAAATTTTCAAAGTGGTTTCTTCCCTTCAGATTTTTCAGCTAGAATTTTCCTATAGGTCTCATGCCCTGACATATCTTCTACCTATACTTGACCTCTCGAATGTTTAGCAAGATGTGCTAATTTGCCCATGGCCTTTCGCTCTAACCAAGATACTATTTTTGTATCGCTAGTGCGGTGGGACTAAGTCCCTTTTACTGCGGCCACTTCTGGCCTATTGTACCAGCCCCAGATGATAGGTGAGGGTGATTGTGGAGCAATTGGTGGAATGAAGATTGGCAGGGGAAACCGGAGTACTCGGAGAAAACCCGCTCCAGCGCCACTTTGTCCACCACAAATCCCACTTGACCAGACCCGGGATCGAACCCGGGCCGTCGCGGTGGGAAGCCAGCGACTAACCGCTTGAGCTATGGCGCGGCCATCAGATACTAAGGACAGGGTACATACACTCGGGTACCGATTTCACGTCCTCCCGTATCAGCACTGAGCGCCGTCCGCCAGTTATACCAGCGCTTCCCTGCTCGAAACAGCATTGGCCGACAGTCATGTGTTGGCCATGCGCCTTGTCACTTCTAGGACTGTGAGCACTCCTTTGCTTGATGTACTGGTAAGCGGTCTGACCGCTTAAAGCTTCCTAGTGGCCTCTTTAATTTTTACGGATGAAGTGATGACCCGACAGCAGTGCCTTCGTTGGTTACGTAAGGATAATGCTGGTAAGGGATCATACAATGTCGAATGATAAGCTTATTAATTAATGTGGAACAGTTGGTGGAATAAGAATTGGAAAGAGCAGACCGAATTTCTCGGTGAAAACCTGCCCCACTGACACTTCCTCTATCAGAAATCAAACATTAACTGAATAGGGAACGAACCCGGGTAATTAAGCTGCAGTGCACCGTTCTTCAGCCCGAATTGAGCTTTGTATGTCACGTGCAATAGGGGCTATAGTAGGTCCAGTTTCTTATGTTTCTACTAGAACTGTGGGGGCACGAGTTTGAGGCACCATAATACAAGCCAGAAGGTCGCGGGTTCGAGTCCCGATGAGGTGGATTGTTTCAATTTACTTAATCGTTCCAGCCGCACTATGGCCCTGGGTTCGACTCATCCTGTAACAGAAATGATCACCAAGAATCTTCCTGGGAGGTAAAGGGCGGCCTGCGCATAAGGCTGACAAACTTACCGCCATCTGTGAGCTGATTGTCTAGAGAAAATGTGGGAGCCTCGACGTCTCACAACCGTATGGGCCTTCACAGCCTGTTACAGGGATAGCTTTAGTAGAACTCTGGCCTGCCAAGGAATGATTATTAAAATCGGCCGTTGAATTTACACAGATGTTCGCACGGATGTTATGATCAATCCGTTGCTTTATATGAAAATTTCACTCTCAAGAACTGAATAGAAAGTGCAGGTTTATGCAGGGTGCGGTCAACTGCACTCCTGCATGCGGGCTACTATTCGAGAGGAGTCTGGGTACTTTGCATTTGGATATTAAAGAAAGGGGCACTTAACGCACAGTAACAATGTGGAGATATGTGCCCCCTTCAGTATGCTGACTGGTTCCTGTCCATTCTCCTCAAAAGGAAACACATTAATCGGCAGTTGCGAGTCAAAGCAACGTCAGTATATAATTAGTGCTTTAACAGACACAGAAAATCAAAGATTTTCAAATCATAAAGCATGAATTTGACCTAATCTATTGAGTTTTTTTACGCAAAGCCTACATATTTCAGACCAGACCCTGATTTAAGCCACATATCACTAAATTCACTCGGTATAGAGCTCCGGATGTCCTGATATATGGACTAGCTCTAAATGAGTAGATTTTTTCTGAAAAAATAAACAAAATCGTCTCCGAAACGTTTTAAATAAAAACAGGAAAATGGATAACATTCAGAAATATAATATTTGTAGATCATAAAGTGTTCTGATTATGGTGTATAACACTCGGGAGTACTGTCCGTTATTATAAAGAACATAAAAAACAACACAATGTTTCGGAAACTGAACCCGTTTCCATCATCAGGTGAGGATGTGAGAGATGCAAAGTCTGTTGGGTCCGTTAGAAAGAGCTTGCCAAAATCGTTGGGTCCTCAACTGAGAACAGAAACAGATGCAGTGTGCGAAACGCTGTGTTCTTCAGAATAACGGCTGATGGTCAAGTCCGGAGTATCGGTAATCCCAAGCAGTATATGCAGTTTAATGTACCCTGGCATACACATGTAGTCTACTCGCCCTACGATCCTCCTAACAACAACTGCCTTGTCTTGAAAATGGAATATTAATATTCTGACCTGTAATTACTCATTCTGAAGCCAGGGCCTACAGACAAAGCGATTACTCGGAAACGAATTACTAAACATTTAGGTGCCTGTTACAGATAAGCAGATATATCTTTGGGATACAGGATTCAGAGAGACTGCCAGTGCGGAAACAGACATTCTGCTGGCCTGTTTACAAGGCACGATGAAAGTGTGGAGCGAGTTAGCCCGGATGTCATGAGGAATCCGAAGAATCCACCTCTGTTCAAATGCAGAGTTACAGATGCCGAAACGTCTGTCACTCAGAATTCTTCGGAAGATCCTACGTCTAAAACTATACTAATTTCATGGTAGTCCAGCGACTTATAGCGAGTCATAATCAGTCTTTATCGTAGTTTGTGGCTCGCAAGTGGGCACAGATTTTGGAACATGATTCGTGTTGTCTTCACTTATAAGCCAAACTTTCATATGTTTGGAAGTGTCACTCAGCGTAAATTTATCATCTTGGGTAGCACTCCTCCCAGAGGACATTTACAACGTGAAAAAGTTACTTCTAAAGCGAACGTGTATTGTGTCGACACATGAGAGGGCCATCGGCCCGTTTTCTTCGATGAGGAGTGCATTACAAGTAATTCATTCCTAGATATGTTGTAAAAAATATGCGCTTGCGCAGCTCAACAACAACAACAACAATCTTATTCGTCAACTGGATGGAGAACAACTCAATTACCCAGGCCGATGGGTAGGAAGAGGAGTAAAATTTGCGTGGCCCCCTCGTTCTCCTGACCTTACTCCTTTGGACATTTTTCTCTGTGGCTACACGAAAGACCAGGTGTACAGCCAAAGAGAGAACAGGCTGGATGAACGCAAAGCACGGATCACCGCAGCAATTGCAAATGTTACAGCAAGTCTCGCTATAGGTGGGGAGTATGCAGGGTTAGAGTCGGCGCCTCGCACTTAAGAACTTTCCCGTTTGTGTGTAAACAGAACTACAACATTCTAAACAACTGTCTCATATACGTTTCTGTTCCTAAGCTACATGTGCCCGAAAACCCGGCATTATTTTTGGTAGGGCCTGTATTACTGCTGCAGTAAATTCTTTTAGTTGTGTTGTAGCTTGCGGGTCTCTTAATGTGAATTAAATTGCCTGAGGCCGTCCAGAACTATAAGAAATATTTTAAATGCGATTTAGTAATTAAAAATATAATTACTAACGACCCTTAATCATGTCTAAGCAGTGCTGGTACTGTTTCTATTAGTTTATAATGTATAGTTGGGTACCGCCTCCGTTGTCTAGTGATCAGAGTTCCTGGCTACAGATCCAGATATGCGGATTCGATTCCCGGCACTACCAGATTTTCTGAGAAGTAGTGCATCTGGAACGGGGCCCACTCAGCCTCGTGAGGATAACTGAGGAGATATTTCAAGGAAATAGTGGCTCCGGTCTAGAAAACCGAATTAACGGCAGTGGGGATTCGTTGCGCTGACCACGTGGCGCCCTCTATCCGCTAAAGTTGACACTAACTTCGTCGACAAGCGGCGGTCGCTCTGTCGGTGTAGTTCGCTTGCGGGCTAAAACCATGGAGTTATAATGTACAGCTGTAATCTAATTTAAACTTTTCTTATTAGTTTATATATTCCATAAATTGACTAGTAATATTTTCGGTGCCTCGACCCAGAGGGCTTCGCCATTGACGCTTTGGGAGACGCTGGTTAGTTGGATCGGAAGGCCTAACCGAGACTTACAGCGAACATTTTTCATAACCACCGAAACATTACGATTTAAGTTGGTGTATCCTGTCTATAATAGTCAACCAAATAACTAAATTCATTTCCGCTGGCCCGTTATGCCCTTTTACAAGGAAACACGCCGAGTATCCTATCAGTTGCACCAGAACGGTTCCCTATAGTTCACACACGGTATAAAATCCACACCTGTTCACATTTCCCCCCATACGTCGAACCTGAGCCCTCCCCTAGAACAGCACTGCGGCACCCTACTGGGCAACAACCGACTTCATCCATATCGGATTGGCTCCAAAGTTTTATGCGTACTCACTTGTGATTGGCTGACGAGCACGTGCTGGTCTGGGTTCCACCTGATGCTGGATACAGCTGCTGGTTCTCTGCTCGGTGGTGGGGACAGAGCCGAGAGATACTACTTGGAGAGGCTCCCTTCAGCTACCGCGCTCAGAGAGAACCTAGAAGCAGACAGAGTTGGATGTGACGGTAAATGCTATTGTGATCCCTACTTTACGATTGTTTAATGTGTCAGGCGTTCGAGCGCCGACCCCGATGTGGCGGAGACGGTGCTACGGCAGTTCATTCTAATGACAGTACAAATTAGTGGCTCTCAAGTATTATAAGTGGACCATTTTCGGAATTCGTGGTAGAGGGTTTTGGATAATTGATATCCCTCGTGTGATTTGTGTGTGAGTGAAACAGTGTAATCATGCCACGGTCTTTTCTGATTAAGAAGAACAATTATAGCAACTGCCCTCTGAAAAAGAGGCCTGTCCCTCTCTACAAGGAGCCACAGGAAGAGGAAGGGAAAGGTAAGGAAACGACTACAAGTGCGATCTTGCAATGGTATCTGCGTGTCATAGAAATTCCTGGGATTGTGAGCAGGAGTTAGATGTGTCTGTCTGAGGCAATAGCATATCCTGATATGGTACTTCCAAGTTCTTATAAATTGTCGTGCTCTTTATCGTGACTTTTAGATAACACTGTACTGTTACATTTCGTATTCGAGTTTTCTTTTTCAAATAGGTTGATTATTGTTGTGCTCGTTTGGCGAACTATAGACCTATATTGCTTCCTGTGTAAGCCTGTCGCATTTATGTAATTATTTTTCTAACATATTTTTTTCCCCCTTACTAAGAGAAATTTATTAATTTGTACCCGTGTCACGACTGTGACACGTATCTTATTGTTACATACAGACACTTAAAATATTACACGCATCTTTTTCGCCTGTTTACAATTATTACAATCATTTTGTAAAGTATAGGCACGTATGTGTGTTATTATCATATTTCCATTAGAACTATCTGATTATTCTTTCGTAACAGAAAAAGATTTATTAACTCCTATGTTCCGTCATAGCTGTTGGGTGACATATTCTCTCACATTTAAAATTCCAAACTTTCCTCCCGCCTGCTGGCTACTGTTATGCTCGTTTCGAGCCAGATCTATATGCACCTTCTTCTTGCAATATGCTGCCATATTTTTGCGTTTAAATATCCTTCTCATAAGAGACGTTAATGAAAATTGTGCACGTACTACAAACGGTTGATGATAAAACAGCCGTTATTGTTATATTTCACAGGGCCCCGTTAATATGATGATATTAAGTATGAACAGTAGGGCCAACATTTGTAAAGTTACACAGACACTTCCTTCACTTTTACAATACGGTATTTTAATGGTGTCAAAGAAGACAGGGGTACAGAGTGGATGAATAGAATCCATGGAGAACCACGCAACATCTGTGACGCTAGCTGACAGTGTTCAGACGACTTGCAGTGGTGCCGATGTCTTCATTATGCATGCAGAACATGCGCAGTGGTTCCTTACGCCCTTCTTTAAGAATACGTTCAGAAATGGTCAATGCATTCTACTTGGCTGCTTTGAAAGTGTCTTGAATCACATACGGTGACTGCTTAGGATTACGTCTCGGAAACTTTCACCATCGAAATCATGATCGAATAGATAGGAACGATACATACGTGTTACCACAGTACAACTTCGTCCACCTGCTGCTTGTGTCATTTCAGAATTGTATGATCAGTTTACATAGGCTCAGTAAATAGCGTCGTGATATTCTTGTGGGATCGGGCACAGCTTAAGAATAATTCCTTTCTTACGCGATTGTAACTAACACAGTTAACACGCACAGATCCTGACCTCCAAATGTAAGCACACCAGAAGTGCTCACGTATCCGATATTAATAATGTACTTTTCAGGAACCTTTTCTAATTGTTCTAGTTTACAAAAATGACAAATACTGGACTATGCAAAGGTGTTTAATTAACCGTACTATTGTTAGATTCAGCTACGTACAACAAGAGATATATGTATATTAGTCCCAAAAAAGCAATAGGTTAGATATGAAGCAACGTACAGAACCGGATTTTGGTGTGCCTGAAGAGAGAAACAGACATTGCTGGCGCTCCAGACCTCAGTGCAGTTGAGACCCTCCCAAACCCCTGTAAATTTACAGTTATGTACAGTTATGCAAATTGTTTGTCCAGAATTCGCTAGCTTGATACGTCACGCTAAGAATGATAAAATGTAACAATTGAATATCGTTGTATGCAGTTAATTACGTCAAGTTATTTCTTTATGTAGATCACTTCACTGAATTGCAAAATTCAGGATTTGAACACAAGTTTATTAGGATTGAATCATGACTGTTCATTCATGGATTAACAAAAATACCTTGAATAGTTTTGCTAAAGCACAAGATTTGCTAATCAGATTTTATACTGTGAAGAATGTCGTCTTCTTGGATGTGGCACCATATAGATATTGTATGAACCGATGTTTCGGAGGAACGTATCACCTCCATCTTCAGGGTAGAAGGAAAAAAAATCCGCAAGCGAGGAACCAGCGTGAGCAGGTGGTTGCAGACTGCAGTCTACACGGCGCCACATCGCAGAAAACGGCATTCTTCATAGTTACCGCCGTGGTAACCTCAAATCTTACATACTGGGTGCCCCTGGAATCTCACGATGCTGTATGTACAATAGTAATAACCTGTGTCAAGGACTTTCTTACACTCCAAATAACAATAGACTTATAACGAATTTATTTTCACAACGATTCCACAATCAGACCGTCCCTGAACCACGCGTCACACGCCCTGCATGTACTACAGTGTCTAAGAATTTCAATGCCATTAGGGGCCTTTAGTACCGTCTGCTGTCATGTCCCGTATAGCAATAAGTGGACTAGTGGTCGGCTTACGTGCGTATCTCATATCTGTTCTGATCTTTAGTACGTGATTTAATGAAAGAGTTTCTTCTCCCTCGCGCCATTTGCTACGCAACTGCCTCTCTGAGTACAATTACGATTTAATGTGCCAATAATGTGTTATTAAACAAACCATAAAATAGAAGAACACGCTTATATTAAAAGGTCCTTGAACAGAGAATTAAATTGGTTTGGAAATCATTGGTTTAGGAGTTAAACTTCCCACAAAATAAAGGCTTCAGAAACTATTAATTACTGCAATTGGTGTCTTAACTTGAAGGCAGAATTGTGGAAAGTGGAAGGTTTGCAGATTGTAAATTATATTGTTTAGTTCTGTATAGAAAGAAGAAATTGCCTTATTTAGGCCGATATATGAGGTAACTGAGTGAGTTGTAAATCAAAATTGAATACCTCCGTAAAAAAAATAAAAAATAAAACGTGTCCTTTATTTCGTTGGTTACGCCCACAACGTGAAGGTATTTTCAGTTCAGATTGGAGGTCACAGCTGTGGACCAAGTTGGAACCGATAAAAGCAATGCGTCACATTAACACTCACACAATGGAATGCGACTGGACACTTTCGGTTTTAAGCTCAGAATTTTTCTGGATTGTTAGTTTACTCGCTATAGGAGACTCGGATTGATAATTTGTATACACTAACCGTTACAAGGCTTTGAAGATCTGACAACGTCTGAAGGCAATGAAATCTTCTTGGGTGATTAAGCGTCTCAGTTCGGAATGAATTTGTTAACGTTTTGGAGACTGTATCTTCCTCCATCATCATGGATTGATGAGTTCTGAAGATTCTATTACATCACATCTTTATTATCTTAATAGGTCAGTAGGTCTATTGGGAATGGAGCGTATGAATACAATTCCTACAGCAGATATGGCAGTAAGAAAGTAGTTCATCTGATCGTATTACTACGCTATAAATGCACTCTCATTTTCATATCGATCTCCTCGTTCAACATCGCATCGTCTTATCGGTGTCCTAACGCCGTTCCAATTTCATAGAAGAGTTTATTCTGTTTGAAATTCTGAAGATAATTTAGTTTCTGAGCCGGGTAAATTAAAAGCTAACTAGATCCGAAGAATTCTGTCTTCTGAGATATAACGCCATGTATTCCGTTGAAAGTCAACAATGTTTCGGCGGAACACAACGGCTCCATCTTCATGGTAGAATAATAAGCCAAGCAAGTAACAAGCAGGGCTCTCTAACTGCCTCATCATGGTTACTCTCTCGGCTTATCCTTTGGCCCTGAATATGTAGATGAGGTGTACCTCTGAAAAGTCAGTTGACTTCCAACAGACTACATGCGTTATGTCCCACACGATAGATCCATTTAATAACCACTGATGTGATAACCTTAAATCCTACACGTACTAACTAGATGAAATAGAACTCGGTCCATGTGAACATACAGAGCTCTCATTTGGAGCGGAGATACTCGTAGGGGCCTACAGACCCATTCTCTGACGAAGAGTGGAACAAATAGGCAACTGTGCGTGAACTATGTGACCTCTGAACGTACCCACTCACGCTGCAGGCATGCATGAAGGAGACAGACGAACAAAAATTTTAGAGTGTCTTTGAGAACTCAGAAAGTCCGTGAATATTTATTTATTGTAAATGGAATTCAAAATTTGAAACCGGACATCGTACCCCTCCTCCGGCAGACACATTTAAAATAAATTATATAAAATTTGAGGTTCTCACAGCGGTAGTTATGAGAAGTTCTATCATCTTGGATATAAAACCGTGTGGTCCTTCGACGTTACGGAAGGATGTGTCTCCTCCATCTTCACGGTCGAAGGATAAGCCGGGCAAGAAAAATGAAGATGCAGGCGACATGTTCCTCCGAAACGTTTGTTGATATTCGGAGCACTATACGATACGGTCTTCATCAGATAAAGTAGAACTTTTAGGCAAAAAAATTCAGGTTCACCATTTAAGTCACAATGGTAATTATATGTACCCCCTGATTTTACTTTTAAAATTCCCCACATTTTGCCCACAGAGTGTGTTTATGGGTTTCGTATATACAAAATAAACCGTGATTATTCCCTAAACAGCATTAACACATTAATCTCTGTAACGCGGCCTCATTGTGTTTCATGTGAGGTAGGAATTACATTTTCAAATATTATTTAAAATATGGTTGACACTAAAGATTTTCTGCAGAGATTCCATGACTCCAAAATCCCATTCTCGTTTTTCGATTTTTAAATCTTTCCAAAAAATTCTGGAAAACTACAGTCTGCAAACCTGAAAGAAAGAAAGAAAGAAAGAATTCACGAGACCAAACGGTAGACGGGAGAATAGTGTTAAAATCTTCAATAAATCGGGGGTATAAGTGTTTGTACTGGATTCAACTGGCTTGAATATGGGATCTTGTGAATAGGGTAATGATCCATCAGGTTCCAAAAGGGAGGTGGAGGCCTTGACCGGCTGAGCGACTATCGGTGGACTCTGAACTCTGCTTTATGGAATTAGCTTAACAGTGCAGTTTCATTTCTGTGTTCTAGATGTGCCCGATGATAATTCAGAGCCGGAGAACTTGAGCACGAAACCGGAAGACTTGAGCCTAACGGCGAGTCAGCACAACTATCCGCACAAGGCCATCACCCCGCCTCCGGGAGTGGCGCTCATCACGGCAAAGAGGACCCCTCTCTCTGAGCGCCCTGATGCCGTGACGTCAGGCACTACATCACTAAACCACGGAACTACCACATCACCCCATCACTCACACTACTTGGGGAAAACGTCAGGGGGACCTTTGGAGCCACTGAATCTGAACACCCCAGCTGAATCTCACCACCACCACCATCATCACTACGCTTCCTCGCCAACGTCATGGCACAGGGGTGTAGCTCCTCATTACCCACCGCCCTATCTGACGTTCAATTACCCATACCCCCCACCCGCAGAGATGTACAGCAGTCACCACCAATACGCACCCTCAATTTACCCGGTGTCACCGGCCCGGAGCAGTCCTTTGATGGGTCACACGCATCCTCACCACCACCAGGAGCAGCAGCTGTCCCCGTACGCTCCACGGGACTCCAGCAACTCACCACCCCACCACATGTTCACGTCATCCACTCTGAGAGCTCCCGTCTCTGTTGTGGCTTCTCTACCCCAACGTCAGCACCAGGCAGCATCCGAACTGCCCAAACTCTACATGCCTTACCAAGCAACGGAACACTGCGGCCTCTCTCCAACCTCCTCAGTTGCATCCTCTTCTTCAAACACTGTTTTTCAATCGCTGTCGCCGCCCCCTGTCACTCCCGAAGACCTGTCGTCACCCGGAAGTGTCAGCAGCGGAAGCAGTAGCGCCGGGAGCACTGGAGCCGGTAAGAAGAGAAAGGAGGGTGTTGTGCCTCGTTACCAGTGTCCTGACTGCTCCAAATCATACTCGACATACTCAGGGCTATCCAAGCACCAGCAGTTTCACTGCGCAGCCACAGCCGGCTCGGAAACCAAGAAGTCCTTCAGCTGTAAGTACTGCGAGAAGGTGTACGTGTCACTGGGGGCGCTCAAGATGCACATCCGCACACACACGCTGCCGTGCAAGTGCAAGTTGTGCGGCAAGGCGTTCTCACGGCCCTGGCTGCTACAGGGACATATCCGAACGCACACGGGCGAGAAGCCTTTCTCTTGTCCACACTGCAACAGGGCGTTCGCCGATCGCTCAAATCTGAGAGCGCACCTGCAGACACACTCAGATGTCAAGAAGTACTCGTGCAGCACCTGCAGCAAGACGTTCTCGCGAATGTCACTGCTTACAAAACACGTGGATGGCGGCTGTCCAGGTACGAATACAGCCGCAGCGAGCGTCCCTCCATCGGCACTGAGCCCCAGCGCCCAAAGAGACAGTAGCAGTGGCGATGAAGCCAAGCCCACCTCTCCTGCTTTCTTTGTAAAGCATTTTCCTCCTTTTTTGTAATGTTTGTTGAATCTTCTGGTTAATGAGCCAAATCGTTATTCATGAAGGAACTAGTCCTTGTACTGTATACAAACCTTGATGACGTCATCTGATGGATATTGGCGTGGTTTCTAATTGATGGTGACGCCCAAAAAGGCAGAACCTTTACAAAGCGCTGCCAGGAACTCATATTATATCACGTATCAGTATTGTGAATCTGAAGTAAGCTATATGTTAAAAATGCACTGGTTTTAAATGTTAAAATTCTGTTATTTATAATGAACCAGTGTCTGTAATTGCAGAATTACGGGAGGGTGGGTTATTGGTGTGGAAGATTTATCCGGTTGCGAGCCACATGCTAGACAATGGGAGAATGATGTTAATACTGGTGTAACATTGTTCATCCGGAACAAGATTAATAGTTTGTATGGGTGGGCTGGGTCGATGTCAGTCATGTGTATATGTAAGCATAGAGGAACCACTCAACTACAAGTGCCTTGAATTGGGTTCCTATTGTACCCTAATAAGTAAGCGTTAAAAAGACTGATTATCACTGTATATTTCTACAGCAGAAGTAGAATTAAACAAAAGACAAGAAACTCCTTACATGTTTATGACCATTTTTAAAGTACAAAATAATGTTAAAGGGGCCTAATTCATATAGAAAACTGTTCTTATTTTTTTTAACTGTCATTTTTGTAATCCCAAGAATTTTTCTGAGCAAATGAGATAACCGTGACGAATTATTCAAGTCGACTTGTTTTCAAATATGACCATATAATCTATTTTATATATTATTATATGATGCAATGCAGTTTCAAGCACCAAAGTGCCAAATTGCACATAATTTGCTATAAAGCCTTTTGTATCCTATAGTTATTTCCTCTACAACTTCTTTTTTTATATAAACAATAAAAGTATCATACTTTATGGAATGCAAAGGTGTTGGCTAACTTGCCATACAAATTTGCCATTTTGGAAGCTAGTCACAAAGGGGCTAAGAACCCAAGTACTTTACTTAAAGCTCGTGTAAAAATAGCAATTTCCTTTCAGATAAATCGAGCAAATTTTTTGTATAGTGCCTTAATGTTTTTGTATCTTTCCACTGAAATTATATTATAAATACATTACTTTTATACAATTGTAATTCTTGTTCTATTCAACTGACCTATCAAAGTTCCTTCATCTTTTTTAATTTAAAATGTATGTGAAATACTGTGACATGATTTCCTTACCTTTCCTACGTTTCCTTGTTTCAAATCTCTTTTGCAATACGTGAGCACCCTATGTCTTTTCATACATTTAAAACAATCGCATGGTTGCATTTAAATCCCTATAAATGGTTGTGACTTTTTGTAGTATACTAATTCTGACCTTACATATCCTTAAACATGCATAAATAGTAAGATCTAAAAGTTTGTGACGATGGTAAATTGCAACAAGTAATATGGTTTGGACATTACCCATCGTCTTGTCTATTCTGTTTCTTTTTTTTTAAACACAACGTTTCGGAGACTGGATTCTGTCCCCGTCCTCACGTAAAACCTACTCAGTTGGGTCCAATAGGCAGAGCTAGCTAGGTCCGGACAGAATCCAGTCTCCGAAACGTTGTGTTTGTGATATAAACAGGACAGCGTTGACGGAGACAGAATCCAGTCCTCGAAACGTTGTGTTTGTGNATATTACTTGTATGCATAGTCTTATAATATACTTGAATTTCTTAAACCCAAATCAGGGCCGCGCCATAGCTCAAGCGGTTAGCCGCTGGCTTCCCACCTCGGCGGCCCGAGTTCGAGCACGGGTCTGGTCAAATGGAATTTGTGGTGGACAAAGTGGCGCTGAGGCAGGTTTTCTCCGAGTACTTCGGTTTCCCCTTCCAATCTTCATTCCACCAATTGCTCCACAATCACCCTCACCTATCATCTGGGGCTGGTACAATAGGCCAGAAGTGGCTGCAGTACAAGGGAATTAGTCCCACCCCACTAGCATTAAAAAAATAAATCCAAATGAATAACTTTTCCATGAGTTATAATATTCCCGTTTTATTCTACTGTACATTACAAATGCTTCGCGTTGGATAGTGGCTGGGTGTAACTATTTCAAGGTAAGAAAGAAATATTGCTACGTCCTATCTCACCCGGCCTTAACGTTCATTCTATTGTTCTACTATTTTATTATGCTGTGCATACTAATTACTAATATTCAAATAAACACATACAGATAGGAAGAAATATCTGAAGTTGTATGCATATTAAATTATGTGTACTCTATTTCAAACACGGAAATAATAATTATGGTAATAGCAATACAGAAGTGAAGACCTGTTTTATAATTGCATTGAGTAAAAGGCAAAGCTATCTCTGTAACAAGCCGTGAAGGCCCATAGGGTTGTGAGACGTCGAGGCTTACACATTTTCTCTAGACAATCAGTACACATATGGCGGTAAGTTTGTCAGCCTAACGCGCCGGCCGCCCTCTACCTCCAATGAAGATTCGTAGTACTCATTTCTGTTAGAGACTGAGTTGACCAGTGCCGCTGCAAGGATTGGGTTAATTAAAAATTCCATTATCCTCATCAAGAATCGAACCCGCAACCTTCCGGTTTGTAGCACAGTGACTCAACCAACTATGCTACCGCGTACCACCATTTGATGTGATTATTCTCATATAATTGTTCAAACAAGTTACGAAGAACAAACAACCAAATGACACCTTGCGAGTTCTCTAAAAGTTTGTGACGATGGTACATTTGTACAAATGTTACGTTTGTGGACATTGCCCGTCGTCTTGTCTTCATCTACAAAATAAAGAGGACAGTTTTTAGATAAAAACAAGATGAGGGATAATGTCCAAAAACATCATATTTCTACTGCAAGTTTTCGTTTGCAAGACTGTTCGCAACAGTTTAATTGAAAGTGAGCAGATAAAACGGCAAATCATTCTGAACATTTGGACCTGTTTTTTTCCGAGATGCAAAGTACGCTCAAGTGTGTCTTGTGAATAGGTGCATCATAGTGTCACATGTTCTTTTCCCAGAGTGCTTCAAAAGAAATTTGTACGTCTGAATTTTCTGGAAACATCGATACTTTCAACATGTACGTTATAATGAATAACATTTAGGCTGGTTTCCGTATATTTAATTAAAAATAAGTTTATGCTAGTGAATGGAGTTCATGGAGGTAGGCCTAGGTCCACTGGGGCTGTAGTGCCAAGAAAAACAAAAGTTTATGCTATTTTCTCTCTTCCCCTGAATCAATTGACGATAAGAGAAACTGGAATGAACATCGAGACACCAGAGGTCACTAAAGCTTACATCTTTACTTTTATACTACGAATTAAGCTGTTCATGTGCTTAGCTACTTAAGCACTACGCCATGAAGATGTATGGGGGAGTGGATGTATAGATCCATGTTTTCTTGACTTCGGCACAAGTTGGAGGTTTGTGGTCAACTCCACGCCTTTTCCTCTTTACTCCCTGGGAAAGAGCCACCGGTACCTATTGGATAGGAGGTTGGGTGGACGAGGAGAAGAGAAAATTTTTAACCCCACCGGGACTTAAACTCCGAAGCCTTGGCCGTCCAGCCCGTAGCCAGTCGGTATACTGACTGCGCTATCCCGGCTCCTCAGGTCCAGCCCGTAGCTAGTCTCCATACTGACTGCGCTATCCCGGCTCCTCACGTCCAGCCCGTAGCCAGTCACTATACCGACTGCGCTATCCCGGCTCCTCACGTCCAGCCCGAAGCCAGTCACTCTAACAGCCAGTCGCTATACTGACTGCACTATCCCGGGTCCTCACGTTCGGCCCGTAGCCAGTCGCTATACCGACTGCGCTATGCCGGCTCCTCACATCCAGCCCGTAGCCAGTCGCTATACTGACTGCGCTATCCCGGCTCCTCACGTCCAGCCCGTAGCCAGTCGCTATACTGACTGCGCTATCCCGGCTCCTCACGTCCAGCCCGTAGCCAGTCACTATACCGACTGCGCTATCCCGGCTCCTCACGTCCAGCCCGTAGCCAGTCACTATACCGACTGCGCTTTCCCGGCTCCTTTCTATAGAGTAAATAGGCCTGTTTAGCTTATTAAGTTGGCAAAGAGCTTAAATTAGCACCAAGTTATTGTGACGTATGGACCCACTGCTAGGCAATGACTCGATAAATACGTTCCCGCGAAGAGAGATTCTAGGTAAAGAACTGGTTGCTGGGTAATGCGTACAACGATACGCGACAATAACGGATATCCAATACCAGGCAACGGAGCTGTATACACCCATCCCTAATAGATGTTTTCTATGGGGTCCGTTTCGCGTCTATATAAATGAGCCGAATTACGGGGCTAGCAGCTGTAATTTTGGCAGGTGATTTGAATGCTAAATATCCATTTTGGAATAGTGCGGTTTCACACCCTTCAGACGAGAAACTTATGGTCTTATTTGACTGGAACCATTTCGAAATTTCAGCACCATAATGTCCCATTCATTAATCTCCTGCGGGAAGCAGTGACGTGCTGGATATTGTGGTTCACAAAAATATTAGAGTGCCAGATGTCATTGATTCTGACATTTTCAACTCAGTTAACCTAGAAATAATATTCCACATACTGGGTCGTGCCAGAATTGGAATCTTTGGGAACCTTTTAAAAAATTCACAGATTTGGATCGGTTTCAAAGGCAGTACACAAGTGTACAAGGGGTACAACTGACAATCAAGAGAATAGAAATATAACGGCGTACAACGGCTTACAACGGAGTACAACGGAGATTAGAGAATCAGCATTGGAGAAAGCTAGCTGGAGGTGAATAATAAGCTTCATGCTTCGGCCGCTTTATCCCCGGATAACGATTCTCCCTTACCCACTGGATAAAATTGGGTAGCGAAGTGAATTATGGCAGGCCGTTCAGGGAATCGAACCCCAATCTTCAACCCCTTAATTTAGTTACTACATTGTTTGACTGTTACTATACTGTCTGGAAATCCCAGAAGAAGAAACCATTTGGAAAGAGGGAAGATTTTCAAAGTTCAGAGTGCAGAAATATTTTACACAAATTTGATTGCACTAGCCCAGGATGTTGCCGAACGCAGTGACCACGCGGTCTTATGTATAAACCGGCTTCGTCTGCTCGGACGCTGGAATCGTGGGTTCAAATCCCACTTGAGGTATAGATGTCTGTGTGCGTTTAATTTGTATTTGTGTTGTTCTGTTTGTAGGTACCCGCCTTGAGAAGGGCTGATCCCCCGTCCAAGGAGTCCTACTGACTGGGTATATATTAAGAAACTGAAAAAGCGGCCAAGGTCCACAAGGGCTGTAGATAGATAGATAGATAGATAGATAGNCCGGTGCGTGCTATCAGCCCCGTTCAGCCAACGAGGTCGGCCGTCGGTACCTGATATTTCCCCCATCTACCAGAGGCATTGGAAACTACTTGGGCGGGAAATTGTTGCCTAATTTTTCTCAGAGGTCTCCTAGAGACATGAGGTTCTTTTACGTGCCGTAAATCTACGACACGGGACCCACGGCTTAAAGTCCCTCCCGGAGGACTTATTCCCTGAATTTTTCCGCCCTCAAAAATTCCACGACCTCCGCCGGGTTTGAACCCGCGTACCTTGAGTCACGAGGTGGGAACGCTACCCCTAGACTACGGAGGCCGCTCTGTGCAATGCAAGTTTCAGGAGGGGGAGGAACAGGAGGAGAAGAAGAAGAAGGAGAAGAAGGAGGAGGAGGAGGAGGAGGAGAAGGTGAAGAAGGAAAGAGCAGCCGTAAAATACGGCATTGTTCACTGTAGAAGTCGAGACCTTGATTTCGGTTGGCACCCTGTACACACGCTATTCCCACCCACAGACGAATACCTACATACGCGTAGAATGAAAATCGCTATTCGCAGCAGGAAGGAATCGCATATCTGGCGAAGGCAAGGCTATGTACAAATGGCGCCGTCAAGATAGAATACGTTAAGGCTCTGTCACTAAATACAGGATGCCGATAAGCTTTCAGACAAACATCGTTAAGTCGGTTTAAACAATATTTACATGTAAGTACGTATGAAACCTTCCGTGTGCTTAAAATTAGATTCAGTATCCTTTGTAAGAAATTCATGTCCTG